CACCCAGCAGAGAGTGTCCCTGTCCAATCCATGGGCTAATTTCTGCTAACAAGACACTGCGAATTGTATCTGACATGCCAAATTAGGAGCACCTACTTCAAATCATGGGGCTTGGGCTTCAAAACCAGCTGAGTTACTTTTCTGCTCTCCTGCCCTTTGCCCTCAGTGCACGACAGCAGTGCCCTTACCTCTGGGTGCTGCACTGCACTATCTTCAGGAGCAGGTGGATTGCCTTCAGGCGCTGGTGCCCGGTCTGCCTGCACGCCACTCCCACCTGCCATTCCCAGATTTTGGCCAGGGGGAGGTGAGGAATGACCCTTTCCTCAGACAGCATCTGCTTTAGAATTTCAAACCCTGGAAGAAAGCAAATTGAAACTGCTGTTACTTCTGTCAGGACAAAGTCAGTTTTCTCTTCTCCCTACACTAAGTGTTGCTCTAGCAAGGAAGAAATATGGAATTAAATTACCAAATAAAAACATAAGATTTTCTAGACTACATCCTGACATTTCAACTGTTTTCTGGGGCAAAATTTAGGTAAAAATGAGTAAGAATCATACTCAAAATTAAAGCTAGGCCCAAGTAAGGCAGACAAACCACAGGCCCTCATTGTTCTGTGATATGCACTGGAGTTTTGCTGATGGCAAATGATCCACCAGCCTCAATTCCATTAAAAATATTTAAACTCTAAAATAACCTAACAAAACCTTTCATGCTGTATCTAGAAATTAGACCCAGAGCCAGCCTATTTGAATGGATAACCACTTTTAAAAAATGCAATTACAACTATTTCTGTTTCCAATTATGGCATCTTGGAGGGTTTACTAAATCCTCTGTGTAATTACTCTCATATAATGAGATTTTGAATGCAAATTGCATTATTCTAATTGCAACCTCCAAGTCTCTGTGAAGATTTTGTATTTCTAACATAAAATCGCAGCAAGTAAGAGACATTAGAGACATTAGTCAAGTTTCAACTTGACCAAAACTAATCACATTATTTCCAAAACAGTGGAGAATGCAAATTCTGTGTCAAAAGAAAGGGATAACCACAAATCTGTCACAGCTCTTACCTGTCTGAAACCTTCCCAGATGACCTGCTGTCACTGTAAACTTGTAACCCCACTCAGTGTTGCTCATGTCAGAAGTAAATCGGTAATAGAGTGTGTCTCCTGTGGGCAGGGGGAGGAGAAAACCCACATTATTACTCCTGAATTAGTTTTGTTATCTCACAGACAATTCAACTGCAAAGTCTGTAATGACCTGATCCTCAAGATTGTCATTTAAGAGAGGTGATCTTTTATTTTTTGGTGATTACAAAAGCATAGAGCAGTAGGACAAACAAGAGGCTGAAGCAAAACCCATAATGGTTTCCTCTGTGTAAAGATACTTACAAGGAAGGATAATATCTGTTATATTTTTGACAACTACATAGAGGAAGTTGAAGAAATCCCACACTGTACCCATGGAACTTCACTTTTCCAACTGTGTTATGGATCAGTTATGATTTATGAAAAAAGGACCTCTATACAGGCAGCCAAGCTTTTTCCAACAACATTGGAATTCATTGGACAAAGGGTTTAAAATACTTGAAAATACAGTTGTGGCTTTTCCATGTCAGAAAATTCAATTTCACTTTTGCTCTAGGGAAAAAAAATGATTAAACTCCATCACCTAAAAGTGGGAGGAGTACCACAGTGTTTGACCACCAGGCAGTGGAACATTCAAGAGGTTCTTATCATGGTAGCATCTATAGCTTCACCAAGATAAACCCTGATAGTTAGCTGCACAAAACATATCCTTAGCTACAGTGCTCTGTAGTATTAGAGCTGTTAAAACTTAGAATTTCCTTCTGCTCCATGAAAAATCCTATCCCCCTGGGACAAGCAGAATTTTCAGTTTCACAAAGAAGAAAAATTTTGAAAACATTTTTTAAGATTTAAAAACAAACGAACAAAAATCTCAAAACCTGTTTCCTTTTCCATCATGAAATGGAGCCAACACTCTCTCCTACTTTTAGGAGTCTGGGGAAAGCCCTGACATCAAAGGAAAAGGCCAGAAGCCTTCAAATGCCTGGTTTCAGCTAAAGCCTGCTGAGTGAAATCAAGAGCCTTAATCCAGGCAGCCTTGGCTGGAAATGAAGCCTCACAAGGTGAAACTCAAAGTTCACAGCCAAAGCTGCTCCAAAACAATGGCCCTCAAAGTTCAGCCCCTTGGCAAACCTCTGCAACTCTTTGGGAGGAAAAGGAAGACAGAAAAGTTCACAAAAATCCAAAACATTTGCACAGAGCACACATTTGTTTCTAACTGCCACCCTGTAACCCAAACAGCTCCTTGGAACCCAAACTGGTTTGCTAAGAAAGTTCCTAAATCTTTACAGGTGATGACAGGACTCTAAGCCAAACGTTTCCTGCAATGCCCCAGTGCCCAGTGGGTTAAAACAACCCAACCTAAGAAGCAGGAGACCCTTCAGCTCCCTGGTATTTGCTACTTACTGCATTACCAAAGTTGTGCCTAGAGGATCAGACTGAAGCTGTCAAACTACTGATTTTTTTTTTCAGCTGTGCTCTGTGGCACCAGCTGGAGCCAAGGCCTTGGCACAGCCTCTATTTGCTCAGAGCAGCAGTAGAGCACACGGAGACAGAGATAAGCCTATCTATTTTTTTTATAAAAGAATGTGCTTCCTGTGGAAAGTAAGACAAGGCATAAACAATGTAAGTGAATATCGTGCAGAACAAGGGCTGTGCTGGAACAGAATCAAGATCAAAATTTGTTTCCAGTAGCTAAGTGCATGCTTTGACTGGGGTGGAAAAAAAAGGTCACAGCACAAGAGATAAGCCTACTTGTAAGAAACAAATGCAAGAGCAGCAATGGCAGAGCAAACAGATTGGGACCAGAAAAGGATTGGTTTTTTTCCTACATATCTTGGGAACATCCACATTTAACTGTCATCTCTCAGCAATTTCTCTCCAGAGTCCCAGGAATATCCTCCAAGTTTGCCTATTCACCTGGAAGCTCAAAATCATTCCATTTCTGTGGAGACCCACTGAAGCTGTGCCGATCCTGCTGGAAGTCACTGCTGCTGGACATGAGCAACTCATCACAGCCCTCTTCTGTGTTGCACTGAGAGTCAAACTTGACTGAGAGGTAGATAGCACCAGGAATGTGAACTTTATCCTGAGGAATAAACACATGAGCTTCGTGTACTGTCACACTGTGTCACCAAGAAACCACTTAACCATCTAAGCAAGGGAGGGACAACAGATCTTACAGCATCTCCATGAGTCAACATCTATTTGGTATTTTCACCCAGAGCTAATTTAACAAATGTTAAGCATGGCCTATTGTTCACATTAGCTGTTAAACATGTGCAATTAATTGCTTTGCTTTTTGAAAAGCAGTAACTGCTGCTGATATTGATCTCATTGCCAGAACCTAAGGGTTTATATGCAGTTCAGAAATAAAACTCAAAAGAGTCAGAGCAGCAGGGAAATTAAAAATCCCAAGACTGCCCAGAGGCAATAATTACTTACCAGACTATATCAGAAAAATGCTTTCAAACAGTATCAAGAAAAGAAAATCAGACACTGTTTGTGTCAGGGGAAGATAGTCTAAAATGAAAAATCAAGAAAAAAGACTCCACTCCTAGCTTTCATCTAACAGCACAATAACACACTTAATAAACACAATATTTGCTCATTAAGGTCTTGAAACCATTTACAAACATGACCTGCTTTAAACACATGCACAGTAAAGCCAGTTAAGTTAGGCACTTTTCACATGATTGAATTAGGACTACATTAAAGTGCCTTACTGAGCATGTTTCTTTACAGGCCAAGGCCTCAGTCACCTGGCACCTTTCAGAGCAAACCTGGACAGACTTCATGGTGCTTCAAGCACACAAGTCCCCTGGATACACACATGGAGTTTTGTGAGGCTTCTGCCCCAACCACCTTAGTGATTTGAATGAATCTTCAAGCCATGCACTGTACCAGAAGCTAACTCACCTCAAAGTTGGTGTTGTTGTTGTAAGGATGTTGAGATTCTCGCATCTGGACTGCCATGCCAGGCTCCTCCATGAACTGGCAGGCTGTCAGGGCCATGGTTCCCAGCATGCTCTCATTGCACCCATGCAGCACCTTCTGTAGAATCTGGAGACAAGCAACATGTCATGTCCATACAATTTGCTGTCAAAACAACATTTACAAACTCACATGCTGCTGGCTGACACGAGTCTTTTCTAGCCACACAGTGTTTTGGAAGAGGGAATTGAGGTACTAGCAACAAACAAGACAAATTCACAAATGATGCCTACAAGTGTCATCTCCAGAAGTGCAAAAGATTTTACTCTGTCCTCTGTTCCAGATCTTTCAGTCTTAATCTGATTAAAACATGAGAGACATTAGTACATCTCTTCCCACAAATGTGAGAATCAAGGCCAATCCACAAAGTAATTCACAGGAAACTAAAGCTGTAACCAAGGAAGATAAATGACTTTGTTAACACACTAAAAAGGCATCTTTACATTCTGTACCTACAGGTTTTGATTTGAGTAGAATGTGACATATGTTTTAGCCTTCAAAATGCACAACTCCATGTATAAGAAGGAATTACTAGCATCCATTAATGGCTGCAGTGTTTGAAAGCACTACATGCAGGAGCTGAGTCTTTAAAGATAGCCAAAAAATGCCATTTAGTCTATAAGGTCACACTAAATGTAACTCGGAACCACCTGAGACTCCAGTTTTTCACATTTTTCAGAAGAGCACAAAAGCTCTAAATCAGGAGCCTGTTACTTGAGGCCTTTTCCAGGTCCTTCTAGCAACTCATTACATCTCTTCACCTGCAATCTCCTAACTCCTCCTATAAAGTGCAATACTAGCTCAGACCGAAAGGGTCAAAAATTGATTTACTGGGGAAAAGGAGATTAAACTCCAAAGGCAGTTCATAGCACAGTGTGCATTCTTTGCCTCCACACACTTGCAGAACAGCCTAAAACAAAGGCTATGCTTTTGTACTTAATATGCCTTAACAGATTTTTATTCTATCAGTTCATCCTGCCCTTTTCTGAACCCATAAAAACAACCTGGGGCAATTATTTCCATGACATCCTGTGTCAAGAACCAGTTCTTTTGGTTTGTTTTGGACCTGCCACTTATTACCTTAATCTGACACTCCTTTGTTTTCTTACTGGGAGGGCCAGTGAATAATACTTGCTGTTAACTTTTGCATGCTATTTACTGCTTTAAATCCACAGAGAAAGAGGAACAGACTTTTCCATTACTCCTCCTGCCTCAATGGCCCCACAGGAGAAAGATCCAGGATGAAGAAAACCAGTTGGTTCTGAAGTTATCTGAATACTGAAGTTATCCCATGGCTGTAATAATCCCTGCCACTCTTCCCCAGGCCTCTTCCAGCTGTACTGCACCTTATTTTATTTCTTTACTGAGATGAGGGATCAGGTCACACACTGCAGTCCAGACCAAAGCAGACTATTGGTTCAGTGGCACATCAATGCCTTCCCTTTGATTCTTAATTCCTTCTTTGAAGATTCCCAGCCCTTGATTTGCTTTGACTGCTGTGAAGCCTTGAGCTGACACTTCCACTACAACACTCTATTATAATCCCAAGATCATTTCCACCACAGTAACAGGTATTGCAATATGCACACTGAGATCTAACAAAAAGCAGCTTTCAAAAGGCACTGCACATTTTCCCAATTTCCCTATATTTATCTTCCCATCTTGCTCTTTCATAACTGAGTTTCCTCCACAGAGCTAGTTTTTCCATTTTCTCTTAACAAAATCAGCCCATTAAGGCCCTGACAGATTCCAACTTCTTTTTGAGAGCTAATTTAAATATTGGAGTTTCAATTTAGCTAAAAAAAGGAACTGTGAGTATTTTTGTCAGTCAGAGTCTCATGGCATGTAGGCACAGGTTTTGTTCACATGTCTAAGTGAAATCCACTTACTTTTTCCCATAGCTGCTTCTCCTCTAGCTGCATAAGCATGTCCAGGATGTATGTCATGTGGGCTGGGCCACTGAGATCGAGGATTTCCTCATTTATTGCCACATCATCAGGCCACTCAGCTAACAATGATGCCAGCACATGCCTGGCATAAAGAACAGCAATTGCCTCATTGACACGATACAGATAGTCCCTCACAGCCTTTTTACTCCTGGAGTCCAACTCCTTGTGCAGGAGGATGGAACTCTTGGTGCGACGCTGCTTGGCATAGCTGAGCTGGAGATCACTCTCCGTGTTGGTGATCAGTTTTTGGGCCACAGGATTGGTTTCTTCTGTTGCTTTATCACAGAGTGCAGGCTTTGACTGCAAAAGGAGAAATGCAAGTTTAAAACCAGGGTCTCAGCCATTTACTTCCTTCTGTCTGGATAGCTGAGCAGTCCCTCAGACTGCAAACTGAACTGACAAATGAGTTTGTCAAAGAACACTGAAGTGTGATCTCTCACACAGCTACAGGGACAGAGTTCTTCAAAAACTGTTGATGTCAACAGACTTCACTACACACTGATGTATTCCTGACTGCACACACTAGTGGAAACAGCAAGTACAATTGTAACAGAAGTGTTCATTTATGTTGACCTACACAGGTAAAGCTACTTGTACCACAAAATGAGGCAAGTTGGGAGGGACTTTTGGAGATCATTCACATCTGACTTAAAGCTGAGACAACTTCAAAATCAAGGCTATGTCCAGTTAAGCCTGGAGAATTTCCAGGAGTGGATATCTCACAGCCTCTCTATAAGCTGTTGAAAGGCCTATTTTTTTTTTCCTTAAAATTATGTAAAACTACTTCAGAAAGCTCTTGATCTGCTTTGCTATGCAACTGATAAACAGTTGTGCTGGTGACACCACAGGGCCAGGAATGAGCACCCAAAATAAAGCAAAGAGCTTTGGACTATGCTATTGAATGTAAAACCTAAAGCTTGCAAGTGTAGTGTCTACTTTACAAGATAAATTCATTGCTTCCTTGTTCTGCTGAACTTACTGTAAGATAACAATGACATGCTAGAACAGTGGCACAGCCTGAGCTTGTAGCAATTAGATAAAATTTCTCTTGTATGGGGAAAGGAAATTACAGCCTGCAATCACAGTTTGTCCTCCTGCCCTGAGAATCAGCTTCTCTTATTTCCTGAAGGAAGGAATTACAAGGAAGAAATGCATCTTGTTGTACCTGTTCATCACTTTGACATCCAACATTAATAACAGATTATTTCAGACGTTAAAAAAATAATCATCGCAGGTTTGAAGTTATTAAACAGAACTGAAGTTAATGCCTAAATGAATTGTTTCACACTTGCTCCAGTTTGTGGAGATGAACATACCAAACAGGGTAAGATGATCATATCTGTATCCACTGCCTTGGAACTCTGCTCCTCCAGCCTCAGGCGCTTGCTGGGCTGCCACTTCTGAGCCAGAGTTCGGATCCTCTCGTCCGTGGTAATCACATCTCCATCAAACCTTGAAAGAGGCAAAAGCAAATGAAAAATACACAGATGTGTTTTGAAAGCAATGCAAACTAAATGAGTGCAATTACATGCAAATGAAATCTTCCCACCTTCTGTTTTGGAAAGATGAAACTCTCCCTATTTTTATCGTGTTGACTACCTTCCCTGTTCTGACAAGCCAAAGGTTTTAAATGGTAGAAAACTTCTCATTTTTGTGAGAACATGGTGTCTCCATGACATGCTTTGACTACTAGAAGACACATGGAAGCTCTTCATTCTTCCTCAGTTCACAGAATCCAGAGCCATAGTAGGTCTTCACATGAGAATTACACATGGAGAAGAACATGTGATGTGTTCCAGAACATGATGATTTGCTTCCATAAATACAATTTAGTAGGAGTTTATTTCCTTACTTTTTCACACATGAAAACCAAACTGTATCCTTGGAACAAGTTCTGTTCAGCACTGATTAGATTTTAGGTTTTCACCCACATCTAGTAACTGGTTTTGTGCAGGTTCCAAACTTTCACATACCTCTTTTGGACTTCCAGGAAAAAAGAATCTGTTCTTTTCATCTGCAACTCATACATGGCTCGAAGAATATGGAGAGGTGCATTAAGTGCATCATGTGTCATCTGGGCAAGGAGCAAAAAGAGGAATAAAGAAGACATTACAGGGGAAAACCAAAGCTAAGTTACTTTAATGATGTCATAGGTATTATTTTCCCACTTACATAGGTAGAGAATTAATGAACTTGATATCTGGATTAGTAAAAATGAAAAGGAATTTAGCAAAACACTTTCTAATGATTTTGTAGCATTCATTACTGCACTTCTAATTTCCCTTAGAGAACAACACACTGAAAACCCTAGCCACATATTCTGTATATTTAGAAGAAAAACAGCCATATAAACTACCAAATGTTCTCTGCAACCAACAAATGCACAGTAACTTCAAAGGAGGTAAGCTAAGTTTAAATACCAAGAAACATATTTTGGTGGCTTCATCCAAACCCTCCAGTGGATCAAGTTTGTTCTGCTCTACATCCACAGGACCAACAACAGGCTGCTCCACATCTGGATCCTGTTCCCTTTCTTCCAGTTCAGTGTCCTCCTGTTCAGCCAGGGAACTGATATCTTGCTTTGAGGAATACAGCATTATTGACAAAATCTACACAGAAAAAAGGTAGCATATGGTGTGACAGCTGTAGATGTTATTAGTGTATCTGCAACCAGCATTTTAGGAGAACACTATCAGACCTGGGCTGATAATGCTTAATACATGCTACCCTAAAAAGAAGCAGCACCTAAAAAAAGAAAATAAACAGTCACCAAAACAAAAAACCAACATAATTTCCCACTTCACAAATGAGTTACACCTTCCAGCCTGCTACAGGCAACTTCAGTGATTAGCTGGAAGTATAAAAAACATTGAGAAAATAATAACTTAACCATTTCAGTACATCAAAGGTTTGAAGATTCTAGGACAGAGCAAAAGTGACCATCACCAAAATGCCAGTGATGCCACTACACACTCTTCTCTGAAAACATCCCTTTGGCTTCAGCACAGCTACAGTCCCAAATATGAATTACCACAACTCCTGCCTGAGATAAAACATCTAACAGTTGAAGCACACTTGTATTTCAGCAATTAACAAGCACTCAAAGCACATGCCCACAGGTCTATTGACTGCAGCAATACCTTGTACCTGTCACTGAGCAATGCAAGTCTTGCTTTGCTCTGAGATTATTGCTTCTTAAAAGAATGGAATGTTAAAGAAGAGCCTAAACAAAACCCACAAAAGAAACTGAACAGGTAATTAAGGCCTCATCTTGCAATTTTCTTTGAAATACAACCAGATTAATGAGAATCAGCTCCAGCTTTAAAGAAGTTAAGGCTATTATCTACACTCCTCTGATGGACAGAGGAAAGAACATACAGGGACACAGTTAAGTGAACATCTCTTTAGAGACTAATTAGAATTACTCTTGAGACTTCCTTCACAGAAGGCAAGGGCAGTGCCATAGCCTTTCATGCTGCTGTGCAAAGTCTTTTCCCTAACCACCACTTTTCTTACCTCCAAGTCCCGGAGAAGCCACGTCTTACTGAAACCAGTTCCTTTGCTACATTTCTTCACTAGAAGCTTCAATAAACCAGACTGGAGAAAGGCAGCTTGGATCTCCTTAAAACCATGAATCTACACACATAGACACACATATAGAAAGGGAACAATGCATCACAATGTTTGCAAGGCTTTGACAGTCTCAGATCTATTTCCTGTCCAGATGAACAATACTGGGAATCTTTCATTTCCCTAAGATCATAGAATCATAGAATTTAGGGGTTGGAATGGACCTTACAGACCATCCAGTCCCACCCCCCTGCTCTGGGCAGAGACACCTCCTCACTAGATCAGGTTGCTCAAGGCTCATCCAGCCTGGACTTGAACATTGTCAGGGCTGGGGCAGCCACAGCCTCCCTCTGGGCAACCTGTGCCACTGTCTCACCACCCTTTAGAGTAAAAAACTTTTTTCTCAAGTAAAAAACATTTTTCTCAATCCAAAATACAAATCCCCATTTCACATCCCTTAAGGGTATCATCTATGATACACACAGAGTAGTAACTGAGTATCTGTTTTGCTCTGACAGTCCAAAAGACCTGCAGATTCCCTCTTCAAATCCTCCAGGAGTGAGAAAAGGGGAAGATGAGTTTCACTCCAGAAAGTGTTATCTCTATGATTTTCTTCTTCAGCTTTCATGAATGGTCAGCCCCCACAGAGCAGAAGTGATCCAGCTTCCAGCTCAGCCTCACAAATGCTATTTAAAGCCCAGCAACATTTTCAACCCCCTACAGACTGAGAATTAAAGGAGCCAACTGTGTGAGAAATGCCCTTGTGTTAGTTTCCCAATGTGCTCAGACATTACCTAAGTTCCTGCAGCACAGGGTAGATTATGAATCTCTATTAATCTATCATTTTCTACATGTCAGATACCTTCAGTGTTCTGTAAAGCCCCTTTAGAGCAAGTGACAAGACCCAGGTTGTCTCCACTGCCTCAGCATAGCTGCTGTCCATGCTGGTTTGCAGGAGGTGGGTGGATATGAGGACAAAGTGCTGGAGATACTGTCTCAGCTGGGTCTGGGAATCACTGCCTTCTTGTCCAGACTTCTGAATCAACTGATAGTCTTTCACTACAAGAGAGAAAAAACACAATTCATTAAGTTCACCTTCAAATGTTGTGGAGTCATCTCTTACCCACAGCTATGAGTAGGCTGAGACATGAACATGATCCCTACATGAATTATGTTTTAATAAAGGTCTTGGATTAAAATTATCTCCAATTTTCTGAACAGTCAAGATAATATTTATTCAAAGCAAGTTAAAAATCCCCAGGTAACTTCTGGCAGGAGCTGATTGCCTGCACATATATATTTGCACATTAGCAGTACAGCACACAAAGCAGCATGTGTTGTAGTTTACAATTCAAATGGGGAAATTTTTGACCTGTAATTGATATGCTGAAATAAATCTTTCTGCTCTTACTGTTTAAAATGTCAACAGTTACAAAAAAAAACCAAAAAAACCAAACAGCAAAAGAAAAGCTTTTCTATTCAAATCTTCCTTCAATATCAAAAATCAGTTTAGTCTGTTGATTTTTCCAAGTGTCTTTTACATAATTTCAATAGTCAAATCTTGGGACAACCTTTGCTTTAGTAACTTCACAATATGAGGTGATGTGTCCCAAAGCTCAAAGCCTTTGCTTCTAGAAATTCAGCTGATTTGTTATGTGTTAAATGTTTAGCTTGGTCTCAAATTTTTGGGGTATTCAAAATGTTTTGCAAAGTTCTTCCAGGAGGAGGGAAGCAGAGAAGACAGAACAGTTTCTAAAGCACATGATTGAAGAAGTGAAGCCTGTCCTCATGGTAAGCTTTTTTACAGGACCAGGAAAAACCAGCCAAGACAGGATCATTTCAGAAGCAATCAATCAATAATTGCTATGTTTGTGTTTGTTCTTGGCCTTCATTTGCTAGTCAGTAGCACATCTGGCCCATAGTGTCTGGAAACAGGCACTTCCAAAAAATGCAGAGCATTTTTTGAGCAAGAAAATGGACTATCCCAAAAGCTTTTAGGTCCTGAGTACCTTTCCTTTATTTAGCAGCACCTAACTACACAGAGGCACTATAATTTTTTAATTTGCAATTGTTTTAACACATTAAGCACAGGTTGGTACAGGATACAACACAAGCAGTAAGCAAGTCTCAAAAGAGAAACATTTGCTTCATTAAAAGCCTATTCCTGAGATCTCTCAATTAATGGAACGGTCTTAACAGATTTCTAAATCCTTTTCTGAATAAAAACAAATGGCAGAGTTTTTATAAAAGAAAATGAGCCTCCACAATCTTTATTGCAGAAGCTTCTCCACGTGGTTGTGAGCACAGAATAAAATCAGGCAACCTGCTAATAACAGAATTCAAACTCTGCAGACCTGCACAAAGTGGTCTAGAGAAAATATGCTTTTGGGTATCCATAACAAACTGTAAGGAAACACTCTGTGATGCTCTGATAAAACAAAAATGCCACAGAACCTGTTTTCCTCTTTCGGGTTTTGATGTCTACAACCACTGCCCTGTTCTTCTCAGTGAAATGCTTCAGGATGATCACATTGTGAGGCTCATTAGCATTGTCCATGTACACAGAGCGAGTTCCCATGCACAGTACCTGAAATTGTAGAAGTTTGTTATGATTTGGAGTATTTCTTTGCAAATACACAGTCATCTTTTATACTGGTTACATCTGCTTATACTTGGCATTGTGCTTTGTAGCTGAGCAAACTGCCAGGTATGTGCTGATCCTTAGAAAATGGCAGTTCACTTCTACAAAAGAAATGTTTAAAATAACCAACTTAATGCTACACAGGCATTCTAACCTGAAGTAATGGAGTTAAAACCATCAAGAGTGAGCTGGGATTGCTCTGCTTCTATAAAAGTCCTTTTTGATACTCAAACACACTAAGCTGGTTGTCTGGTAGTAGTTGTAAGTAGCATTCACAGAAATGCCAGGTAAAACCAGCCTCATTCTTCTCCATTAGATCAACATTAATGGTGTGCAAGGGGAAAGATGTGAACACTGACACACACTCTGTTCTGACATGGATGTCCCCAAGAGATGAAATCCACAGTATTTAGACACAGACATTTAAAAGCTCCATTACATTTCCTTTAGTATCAATAGGCTACTCACCTCAGGAAACCCAACCAGCACCAACAAAGTGAAGATGTTGGTGTGCTTTAGCTGGAAGGGAAGCTGCTTAATGCAGTGGTCAGTGAAAGCAGCAATCACACTGTGCCACTGTGCAGAAGAGTTCAGAGAGCGAAGAATATCTGCCATGGAGCTTGCCCAGTCCAGACCCACACGGCTGCAAAGCAAGAGGAGGCTGGATTAGGAGGGTTGGTTTTCCCCAAGACAGGGTATCACTGTAATCTGTCACATCTGTAGCTCTCATATCGTTACAGAACAATTTTTCCAAATATTTGGGGCTTTCACATCAGCTGATATATGAATTCTCTTTTGTTTTTCATCACTGCAGCATAAATACTACTATTTTCTTAAAGGGTTTACAGTCCCAAGTCAAAGTGTGCCTGAACACTGCTACTGTTAATCCCTAATTTCAATTTAGAGCTCAGAAGTTTTTGTTTGCACAACAGTAAGTTGGTTATATCCTGTGTATGTGACTACCTGGTCTCTCTGTGGACTACACAAATAATCCAGAGGGATTGGCCTCCTTGCTCTGAAGTTAGTCTTTGAGAAAATCCTTTCCCTCAGCTAATGCTCTGGATATTCTGCCTTTAAATTTCATATACTTTTCTATTTGTTTGTGAACCTACCCTGTGAAACACAGCAACAATGAAAACTAAGTCATGTTTAACAGGCACAACATTGATCTTGAGATCACTGAACATTGACCTTAAGAGCTTTCTCAGCATCTTCAAAATCTGTCCCTCCTTGCTATTTCCAGTGCAATTTCACTATACAAACCACTCTCTCTGGAAAACTCACACACAAAAGGGCCAGATCCAGAACTCAGCACAACATCCAGAACTGGTGACAGTTACACCATGACACACTCTCCTCCTTTCCCAAGCTCCACAAGAGATCATAGAATCAACCAGGTTGGAAAAGACCTCCAAGATGATCAAGTCCAACCCTACTGTGGTTACTAGACCATGGCACTAAGTGCCACATCCAGTCTCAGCTTGAAAACCTCCAGGGATGGTGAATCCTCCCTGGGCAGCACATTCCAGTGCCTACTCACTCTCCCTGTATGTAACAGTGTCAGAGAACTAATGTCATACAACAGATACAGGACTGTATTTCAGTTTTCCATCAAGTTTCCAAACCTTCTTTCCTCCACCATGACATGCTATGTAGGTAAACACAGGAAATTAAGCCACTCATCAACACTCAGCCTTCTTCTGGAAGGAAATGAAGATTCCCACTGCAACAAGGGCTGCAGATGCTAAGCCCTTTCCATGATCACAGTACAGATTTAATTGACTTGCTATTAAAAAGCCTCTAGGCACACAGCAGAGAATGTTATTAACTAATTGGTTTAAAGTAAAAGGCACCTGTCTAAACACACAGCTCCCAGACTGAACAGAAGATGAGTTGTCTTCCATCCTTCTGGCATTGTAGATCCATCTCCTGGTACAAACAAATTATGTTTGGCTGAAAGGATTTTAGTCACTGCAGCATCCACTTCTGCAGGCATAAGCCTGAGGATTAACTGGCCCAGCAGTCCCAAGGTTAAATGGTAAGTTTCATTTAGATGACCAGCATTTGAGATTACAACATGAAACATCAGAGGAAGTATTTGTTCCAGGTTGATCAAAGACATTGTGGAGCCCTACAGAAAGAGAAAAACCTCAGTAAGGCAGGGAAAGAAAACAACATCTTTAGTCAAAGTCAGCACATACAAAAGCTTCTGTTCTAATGGTCTTTCACATAGGACAAAAGGAATGAGAAACTACTTTCCTACTTCAGTTGTTGGCCTGTCAAGCTGCCCTGACACTGACATAAAGCTAAACTGAAGATTTTAACTCTGCAAGTGTTGAACAGATAACACAGATTGCTTCTCAGATCCATCAAGATCCCTTTCCCTCTCCCCCCACCCAGGAACAAGCCCTTACATTCCTCAGTAATATGTCATGTCTTAAGACATTCTAATTCACGTTTTATCCAAGCAACAAGAGCTTATCCCACAACACATCCCACATTTATTTCACTATGAGTTTTATTCATATCCTTTGTGACACCTAGAAAACTCCTCAGACCAAAAGGAAAAGGAACTAACTGATTTGAAGGGTGGTAGCATCGCTGCCAGCAACCCCAGAATCCTCTTCTGAGAGCATTCAGCAAAAACTTGTTCTTGGCTAGGTATTAAAACCTTCTCTGCTGGCTTCTGGGCTGAATCCTCAGGGAGGGAGTCACCTGCTTTTTAAATAAAAACAAAAGAAGAAAATCCCCCAAATGACACTAAAAATAACAGAAATAAGACACAGCTTCATTTTTATAAATGAAACCTAAAAATACATAGGAATTTTAAACAAGATTTTTAAGAGTTGAAAAGAAAGTCTTTAAACAAGTGTATAAAAGAATAGGTAAGGAGATGTAAACCACCTGCTAAAACCACATAAAGGACAGTGCTATGGAGAGATCCATTCAACTCTCATCATTCTTACAACATTAGTCCTTAACAGAGCAAAACACTTAACTTCTGGTTCCAAGTAGACGAGAATACACAAATATTGTGTTAGACCAACAGGATCTATAATCTCAATACATGAATATGTATCTGGGGAAGTCTACCCTGATTTCTAGAACCCTTTGACCTGCAGGGCAGCAGCTGCTCTCACACAGCACACAGCTTGCTTGCATTAAAGCCATTTGCAAATATGCAAAACTGGATTAGGAAGGAAAAAGCAGCTGTTTGCCTTGCACAGGAATGGATATCTCCATGATGGGGAAAGGGAGAAATCATTTTTTACCTGTTGGAGAAACATTCTCATCCACAGGCAAGTCTGACTCTTGTCTCACAACAGCTTTCTTTGCAAGGACAGCTTTGCTGTCACTTCCTTGTTTTCCTGCTTTATCTTCTGCAGGGGACTGGATTGCCTTGCGAGTGTCTCCTTTCCCCTAAAAATAAACCAAAGGTACTAAAAGATTAAACCAAAACTGAATACTTGCAGGAACAAGCATGGGAAGAATACAGTCACCTGCATTTGACAAACACTTTTCTTCAAGTATCAAAGCCTTTCTTTGACTAAGATTTCTTGATGTATACATATGTCTTAAGCTTCCACACAATTAAATTGCATTTGCTCTGCTTTGCTCCTATCTCTGTGCATAATAAAATTATGACACTGTGATCGTTTTATACTGTGTCTAAAACTAGGAAACTCATTCTCCTACCCAAACAGTGCTAACAACCAGGGGAAATGACAGCCCTTCAACAAAGAGTGAGCTTTGCCCCTTCTCTCCAATGCTTTGTGAGTCAGTTGTCTGTAAGAATGTGATGCTTTTGTCTTTGATCAGCTGGAGCTAATGATGAAGTGAACCAAACAACAACTGTCCCCTTTGCCCCTGACTTTTACCAACAAAAGAAATCATTGCTCTCTATGATTTCAGCTACACATCCAGAATAGGATGTTTAGGCATCTGAAGATGACGTAGAGCACACCAGGGGTGCTGGAGATAACAGGTACTTACATTACAACGCACTGTGCTGGGTTTCTCATCTCTTCCCTTCACTGCTTTATCACCAGGATGACTCTTTGGAGCACTATCTGTGGGAAGACTGCCTGAAACAGTGTCATTCTCTGAGAAAGATTCATCTTCTGGTAACATGCAGAGGAGAGCTAAATTTTTCAGACCTGAAAGCAAAAGGTATAAAAGCTCTTTAGCTGTTGAGTGGCAAGATAGGCCAAAACTAGAACTGAAACATTTTGAAAGAGAACTGCAAACTTCTCACACACTTTTTCTGAATACTAGAACTGAAACATTTTGAAAGAGAACTACAAACTTCTCACACACTTCTTCTGAATGTCAACTCCATCAAAAAGATGTTCCCCATCATGTTCATTTAATGATGTGGTCCCATCAGATAATAGTGATGAACAGCTGATGACACCTTCCAACTCACAAAGATATCGTTGGGGTATAGATCTTAATTCATTTAAGGAAGTGTTAGAGAACCTCCCAAAGGTGAAAATTATAAAAGGAACATTAAATTTGTCTTAGCTTTCAATCTTCTGAGCACTTAAATATTTGTACAATAAAACTGTGTGTTGCAAACAGATTCAATAACGACTACGACTAAGTACTTGGTGCTGGTGATATTTCAGCTGCTCACAAAAACTATCAGCAAACTTATCTGAATTTGAGTCTATAAATTTTGATATATTCACAGAAAATCTGCATTTCCAGACAAATCATCATCCCCAAAACTCATCTCCTACTACAAAAAAGGTAAAAAAATTCCTGTCAAGAGACACGGAACAAAAAAACCAACCATTTCCCATCAAGTCATTTGCTGTCCTTCAGCTGTCAGTAACACATCACTAACAGAACATGAAGCTGTATTGACTGATCTCTTCACAACAGCTAAGATGGAAAAAAAAACAACCAGAGAGTTGCCAAGTTGTCTTCAATATTTATGTAAGCATAAAATTAATTTTCTCAAGCACTCTATTTTCCATGTTCCAGTGACCCTGAATGGCACTTGTTCTACATTTGCTTTCTCCATAAACAGTTCTTCTCAGTCAAGTACACAGTAGCTTCCCCTTTCCTTTGGAAACTTTAAAGTGAGTAACCACAGACTTTTCTGACACTTGTAGAAACCATTGTTTCGGTGCAGGAGGAGCTGACTCACCTTTTCCGTGCTGTGCCTTCATCAAGCAGTCTCCAATGAGCTGAATGCACTGATGTTGCAGAACTCTGGCATGACTGAGGACCTGGGAATCTAGTTTCTCTCCTTCTACTTCCTCCCCATTTGCCAGATCTGCACTGTAGAGAGTCAAAGCTGCAAATAACAGCCAGGAATAATTGTGGACATATGGCTGGATGAGCCGCTGCCGGTCGCTGATCCGGATAGTCACCATGGGATACACTGTGATGCTGTGAGTGGGCAAGTGGCTGAAACAAGAAGGGACATCATTTTGATATGCAGAAGCTTTCTTGCTAACCAATGTACTGAGTAACACACAACACCTTTAGAGGAAACTAAAACCCAACACATTCCAGAGGTTCAAAGTGTGGACCTGTTTTTCAAGGTCTTTGGTGCCAAGCACTGAAAACTGTTGTCTAACCTCAGTAATGTTCATCTTTTCTACCCTACCACATAGGGCTGGTAACTCTCCTTCTGCAGCTCTCACAGTGATGGCCAGCAAACAATTGCTACCAAGTTAGTTCAGAGGTTGAGGCAGGTTTTCAAACTGCAGACATTATTGCTGAACTAGTCCTATATTCACTATGTTTCCCCTAAAGGACACCAAGTAGATGTTCTGACGTAGGCACAGCCCTGTATGAAGTACCACAAGAATGACTGATTGTATTTGGCTGCTAATTATTGTTTTTCTGCCAAGTGGGGGAAACAAAACCACATATTTAATACCTGTCAGAGTATTTCTTTGCATGATAACATCCATAGCAAAGGTCAAAGTCATCACACACATTGCAGTTCATTCTCCGACCTATGATAACTCCTTGGCAGTGATCACAGGCATACTCCATGTTAACCATTTCATGGTCATCCTCATGGCCTTCAGGTTTAACTCCACCTGGAAAGGAAGATTTCCCTGTAAAACCTTTCTGATAAAGGACCTTTCCTAACTTCAACTTCACATTCAGTTAGGGAAAGGAAAGTTAAACATTTCTAAGGTATCCAGAAGAAAAGTGTTTGGCTTTATGCATCATTTTGTGCTGGTTTGGGCTGAAGTGGAGTTAACTTTCTTCCCAGTGGCTAGGATGGGGCCATGTTCAGGATTTGTGCAGGGCACAGGGTTGATAATGCAGAGATGTGTTTATTATTGCTGAGCAGAGCTCACACAGAGCCAAGGTCTTTACTGTGTTCCATACTGCCACACTGGCAAGGAAGTTGGGGATGCATGGGAGATTGGGAGGAGACACAGCTGGGACAGGTGACCTAAACTGACCAAAGGGATATTCCATACCATTTGACATCATGCTCAGTATATAAAGTGGGAGGAAGAAGGAGGAAGGGGGGACATCTGGAGTGATGACATTTGTCTTCCCAAGGAACCATTACGCGTGATGGGCCCTGCTCAGCTGGCTGAACACCTCCTGCCCATGGGAAGCAATGAATTAATGCCTTGTTTTGCTCTGCTTGTGTGTGTGGCTTTTGCCTTCTCTATTAAACTGTCTTTATCTCAACCCATGAGTTTTTCTAGCCTTTATGCTTCCAATTTTCTCCCCCATCCCGTTGGTGGGGCAGTGTGTGAGCAGCTGCATGGGGCTTGGTTGCTAGCTGGGGTTAAACCATGACACATTTAGCAGATACCATCTTGCCTTCAAGTAGAGGATTTTGAGGGGTTTTTAATGGTCCTTACCAAGGAAGCAAGTTTTACACAGGTCCATGTCGTTGCACTGCAGGCAGCGGTAGCGATGCCAAGGGGCAATTTCATCACAGCCATCACAGGATATGTCCACATTTAACAGGTCACAGTAACGAGCCACAAACATGTGCATCTAGAGCAACAAATGGACACAATGGACTTGAGTGTTATGTTCTGACTTTCAAGGAAGCTCATTCTAGACAGACAGCAGAACACTTCCCCTGCCAAAAATGGATCTTTATATCATTTTAGACTCTTGAAGGTCTACAGAGAGCCAGAGATGCAACTCATGAACATTCAGTTTAAGCCAGATTGCTTTCTCTGCTTTAGGCTTTTAAAGGTCTCCTATTTACCCCTTCTGCAGATAAGTAAACAAAACATGAGGTCACCTTTCTCTGCTTCTCTGGGTTAGCTTGAGCTATCTTTTCATACCAGGTCTCAAACATTACATCCTGACATTCATCCATCCATTCACAGTTTTGCTTGTAGTCTGCAATTTCATCTTCTTCACTCCACTGACTAAAAGAAAAACAAGCTTACAACTAAGTTTGAATGCAATCAGGCTTCTCTTTCATGTAATTTTACTTGTTTTTTTAAAGAACAAAAGCCTATAACATGCTAATAAAAACAGAATCGAGAACTCCCTTTCATTTGAGCAATAAATGACCAAGAGACACCTTTTTCTTGCCTCTGTGGCATGTTCTTAAAGACATATGGGGCCCAGAATGCAAAATCAGAGCAATCCACACTTAAAAAACTGCTTTTGGAATGCTAGCAGATGACATGAGATTTTAAAAGCTTTTTGGCCTTTACATTTGCTCACGGGTAAGAAGCACAAATATTATAAAACTGCAACATGGAAGTGTTAAAAACATTTGACATTTATCAAGGCAAGAAACAGCATTATCTGCCTCCTGCTATACTGTGAAGTGTTCCAGCAAGAATCAGGTTAAAGATAAAATGTTAATAGTTTTTGCACTAGCAATGCTGCAAAAACATTCCAATACTTCAGCTAAGCCCTTGGGTAGTGGCCAAAATTGTGCCATACTTGTTAATAGTACTTTTACTGCTTGGTCCAGCACAAAGTTCAGGAGCCTTTCTTGGTAAAATGGTATCAATAGATAGCACCATGTGAAAGTTTCTTTCTTCCTGACTCACCAAATGACACTGTCATGAATACTTATGTTCTCCTGTGATGTTGTCATGAGGAGATGTGGTAACTGAATCTCAACAAAGAAGGACAGGTCACTTGGCTCCCAGCTCATATCCAAAAGGTGAAGGAGAGCTGTCTGCACACATGACAAGGCAGGAAGCAATGACCTAAATTAAAACAAAAGGCCACAAAAGATGACAGCTTTGACCTGGAGCTGAAATAGGTCTTTGTGGGGTAAGAGCAGACAACCACTTTACACTGATTTCAGGCTTTACTCTGCATTAAAGTAACTATGATAACCTGAGTTCCTGCCACAAAGATTGAGCTTATGCTACTGCCTGAGCAGTAGCAAGTGTTTGTCTCCTCCCTGCAGTACATATTCTTGTTATATACAGGAATTTCATAGAATCAGCCAGGTGGGAAAAGATCTCCAAGATAATCAAGTCCAACCCTACCATGGTTACTAGACCATGGCACTAAGTGCCACATCCAGTCTCACCTTGAAAACCTCCAGGGATGGTGAATCCACCACCTCCCTGGGCAGCACATGGCAATGCCTGAGCACTCTCTCTGTAAAAAATCTCTTCCTAATATCCAACCTAACCCTCCCCTGGCAGAGCTTGAGTCTGTGCCCTCTTGTCCTGCTGCTGGTTGCCTGGGAGAAGAGACCAACCCCCACCTGACTCCAACCTCCTGTCAGGGAGTTGCAGAGGGGAGAAGGTCTCCCCTGAGCCTCCTCTTCTCCAGGCTGAACACCCCCAGCTCCCTCAGCCTCTCCTCATGGCACTTGTGCTCGAGTCCCTTCACCAGCCTCGTTGCTCTTCTCTGGACCTGCTCCAGCCCCTCAATGTCCCTCCTGACCTGAGGGGCCCAGAACTGAGCATAGGATTCAAGGTGTGGCCTCATGCCATTTGTTCCCTTTGAAACCATTGTCATGTTCAGATGAAACTGGACAAAGACTTGGAAGTTACTGGCAGAGGGACTGACGTTGTCACAAAATTCTCATTTCTCTAGGACACACAGCTATAAATCCCCAAATTCTAACCAGAATGCTAACAAAGCATGAGTTTTGCCATTAAAGCATGGTTGCACAGTTGCCATGTTTACTGTGGCATTGCTCTTGCCCAAGTATTCCACAATAAATTTGCTATTTCTAGTATTTTACTCCTAAGCTTCAGAAACACACTGTGCAATTCTAACTACACAATGCAGTAAGTGAAGGTTTTAACATTCATATATTTATTGTGCCTTTTTGCTTAGTAGCAAAAAAAAAAACCCAACTTGGCATTTTTGACCACAAAATCAAGGCTCCTTATTAAGTTCTGTAAGTAATGCACAGTATGGTCACACTTAATTAACAAATGACAAGGGAAGAGGTGTGGAGGAGCAGGAAATAAAAATCACATAAGTACTGCAAGTAATGTACTGTACCTGTCATTAATAGCACTGAATCCCTTCACAGAATTTACCAGGAACAAAACAAGCTGATAGTAGGACTCTCGAATCTCTTTGTGCAGCTCAGCACCACAGCCCTCCAGGTTTCCAAAGTAGCTGGAAATTAAAGAACCAGTTTAGTAGCCTGAAATTCACTGGTGTGTTGTTTTAGGTAGCAAATTTGTGCAAATTTTACAAACAGCTCATTTTTTAACCCCTCCTCCCCACAAGTGGAAGGATGTCAGTTTTATTTAAAATGTAGCCTAGCAGTTTCAAACACAAAAAAAAGAATCCTGCACCAGGAATCAAGTTAAGAAAGCAAACAGGCAAAGAGAATATCCTTGTGGCACTAATGATAGCACATTCCTTCAAATTAAAAATGTGCTTTACAAAAATCTAATCAAGATCTTAAAGGTAATCAGTGCACTGCAAGATGACCATCAAATGCTCCTAATAAATTTGGAGCCAACTGACAGAGTTCAGACAGCACTGGCAGACACACCACAGAAATCAGACCTCAATTCATGAACCACAGCAGCACAATTTGGCTCCTGCTCTGATCAGCTGGTCACAAAATTTGAAAAAACCCAACAAAATTCCCAACTGTCTTTTTTGACCTAGAACAATGGCACAGTTATATAAGTGATAGGAGCTTTTTTTATGTCTCTAGTGATTACAAGTTAAAGGAGTGAGATCACTACAGTTTTCTCTTAGATGAGAAATAAATCAACCTTTAATTAAACAGAACTTTAGCTACAGCAGTAATTGAAGACTCTACCATCTTTTTGAGTCTGTTGTGACTGTGGTTGGAACTGCCAGGATGTTTCCAGGTGTTCATGCTGTGATTCCAACACATGATACACCTACTGGCATGAAGAGCTGTACAAGCAAGTCCCACTTGAAAATAACTATTAATTGTTATTTTTTAAAATGCAGCACACAAGATAAGCATAGTAGCCTGAAAACTAAACCTCAAGTCATATTTCATTATCCATATGGATTCAAAAGCAGTAACTTTCTACTGTGTTCAATGAATGTGACTAGGGGAAAACAAGGACTAAGACATACTGAATTATAGAATCACAGAATTTAGAGTTGGAGTGGACCTTACAGATCATC